TTTGATCTTGCAGAAATAGCCCATAATGGTTATAAACGTTACTTCCATCTCATGACTCGATAGTGAAATTGTATAAAATATATCATCATTTAAATAATGCATCTTTTATTAATTGTTCAGTGTAAATTTTTTTTCGGTAACTCATATTTTAAACAACAAGGGCAGATCAATACAGAGCACTTCTACTGTTTGCACTGGAAACCGAAACACTTTATTATGCTTGTCAATTCAAACTAAATACAAATAAATCAAAAGAAAGTTTGAGAAGACTGAAAAGCTGGACACAACTTGCATTAAACAGCCTGGCCGCCAGTCATTATTGACCATCCGGAGATTAAAAGTGATTATTCACAGTCGCCGACGAAATAAAAACCTCCTTTTGAATTGTGTTTTTAGCACCGTTCAAACTTGTTTCGTTGTTCAATATTCATCTTCTGCAGCAAGTTCAATATTGCAGCTATCATTATAGAGGAGGCTATAGTGTTTTCATGCTTCATAGGAAATACAATTTCATCGTCACTTCTGTTTATATTAAACCAGACGAAGTATCTTAAGTTAACAACTTTATACTGCCATTAGTATTGTCATTATTTGCACTTGTCTAGTATGTCAGCAATGATTGGCACATACTTAACTAATGAGACATACATCTCCAAGTTGTTTGAAGAGAACTTTGCGAGTTGAGCTTTTAAAGCTGAACTTATAAAATAACTGAGATACTAGGCGCGCTCTCATTGGTCGATAGGTGTGGCTAGCTGAGAGTATGTAAACCGTTGTGACGGTTTACATTTGCGCGTATATTTGAGAAATATTTCATTCCGTGTTTTCATAAAAGAATTCTCAGTAGGAGTGCAAGAGATGGTCTAACCGCAGTAAGAGAATGGTAGATGTCTATAATAATCCACATATACAAAAGTAAATTAAGACGGGATCTTTTTAAAAAATAGCAATCTGCAATAGACTTAAAAAGCAAACTTTACCGACATTCAACGCTTATCTAACAGCTGGTAATGTTCTCCAGTCATTTATTATCTAAATTCTCCTCTCTTTTTTTTCCTGTCGAATTTGGCAAATTCAGTTGAGTGGCATAGATCCTCTCAATGGAACTTTTCCATAAGTTTGTTGTTAGGGAGTTTAAGTAGCTAAGAAGCGACACCTAGGACAATTCGATTGAGAAATGAATTTATATTTTACCTACGAATCTCGCTGTACTCCAAAGACACTTAGGTTTGTTTCCCTTTGTCAAAATCATCTCGAAATTGATTATAGAACACAGCGTAAAATTCGAAAATAAACTTCAAAAATTTTCCGCCGCGATTCGTCGTTCATTTCACGGGAACGTCTCTAAACAAAAGGTTTAATGGGCAGAACAATGGCTGTGCACGTGCGTTATAATTCTTGGTACATTTCCTTGTCGTGCTCGGCAAAACAACGACGTGAAATTAAATGACCAAATTCTGCGTTGTCGAGAGAACGTGAACCACAACGGCTAGTTTTTAAACATTTTTATTTCTAATTTATCGCCGTGTTCCAGATTCAGTTCCGTGATAGTTTTGACAGTGATAAATAATGCAAATGACTTTAGACTAGAGTATCGCGAGATTACGGCGCAGGTAAAATATAAATTCATTTTTTAATCGTCGTTGTCCTCGGCGTCGCAGTCGTAGTTACTTAAACTCCCTAACATTGTATAGAGGACGGCAAAGAAATGTACCAAGAATTATTATGCCCGTGCACAGCCGTTGTATCGCTCATTACACCTTTTGTTTAGCGACGTTGCCGTTGCTGTTGCCTTTGTGGTTTTCTTAAACTCTCTGTTGCAACCTTGTTGTCACAAGAGGTATAAAGGATATCAGAGGACGCTGATATAATGAAATGAAACATGGTCAATTTATAATAAACCTAGTTGCAGCCATGTGCTCTATAAATGTTCGGCAAATTTCTCAGTCACATTTTGCTTCATGAGGGCACAGAGTGGCTTGTTGCCATGGTCACCACGTCATAACAATTCCACATGAGAAATTTACTCTGCACCGATGCTCCATGCTGAAACTGAAGCACGTCCACCAAAGCGTGATGTTTTTGGGTTACCATGCCACCTTTCTGCACTGTAGAGGGAGAGAGGTTTGTCACTTGGAATGAAGCTGTCACTGCTGCGAGAGACAAAGCAGCTGCAGATTGAAGGAGTCAAGTCAATGGCCCTATTTCCCCAGAGGAGAATTGGGACTGATGATGACGATGACGATACTGATGATGATGATGATGATGATGATGATGATACCACCTTTGAAGTTAGCAAATTGGTTTAAAAAAGAGAATGAACGTGTGAACCATATCTTTATTACTTTTCCTTAGTGTTTCTTACATAGCATCTGCCTTGCTGTCTTAACAACTGCCGCTCGAAGCTCCCGATGACGCCAGCAATACAAAATTGGATTGATTGAAGAGTTCATAAATGCCACTGTCTCTGCAATCATCCAAGACCACGTCCAGCTATTGGGGGAAATAACAAAAATTGATATGCCAATAAACGCTGGGACATAACACATTATCATCACGATGTAATAGATAAAAGTGTTTATGGCATACAGCTTTTTTCGCTGCATGTTCTGAGTATTTTCAGTGTTAAGACTTTCCACGGCCTTTTTCTGAGAATAAATTTGAAATTGATGTTGACGAACAATCCGAAAGATCCTAATGTAACATACAGTGGATATTGAAGTGCAGATAACGATGTTAACAGCAACAGACGTAAAATAGAAACTCTTGTTCCAAAGGGAAAACAGAGATAACAGAAAGCAGACCAACCAAAGAATTGCTGATGTCTTCATAGCGCGATGTGTTGTCATTAATATCGGATATCTCATGTGATAGTGAAGAGCCAAGAGCCGATCTACACTTACAGCTGTTATCGTATAAAGCGAAACACAGCACGCGGAAAAAGCCATAACGGTTAGCGGCTGGTAAAGAAAGTCCTTCCCTGTTTGTAGATAAGCAAAGTAAACCGGTTGCACAACAAGGCCAACAAGAAGATCAGAGACAGCCAAACTGCAGAGTAACATTATTGACGGTGAACGAAGCGATGGAGTTCTCAATATGGCGGCAAGCACCAAAGTGTTGCCAAGAATTGCTGTGACAATGAGTGGTGCATTGAGAACACTGTTTAGGACGGTAGTGTTTCGTGGAGGAAAATTATTGCTCATACTCACGAAATAATCAGTTTCTTTGGGCAACAAATACTACTTTTTGAAATTATAACAGCTTGCTGGCAACGCTTAGTTAAACAGCTCCACAAATGTTACCTTGGAAAAGTCCATTTCGTATTCTTAATTAAAAAACGCCTCCTGTGAGTTAAATAATTTGTACCCTGTAACAGAAAGAGACCTAAATAGGAAGTGTGAGTGACAGGTGCTTTCCGTGAATTTCTTTCACATATTTGGAGCCAAAGGCCACTTTGGCTAATTTATCCTAGTTTATGTTGACATTGCAACAATATACACGGTGACAGTATGTTCGAATTCAAGGGATCTGTTATTTGTGGAAATTAAAGGTCAAGCTGCTGTAGTGGAAAACAAAAGATTGACTGTCATATTACCTCCCTTGTGCTGAATGATTAAACTAAAGATGGTTATATGTTGACCTAAAGGGACAATTCTCTTTCTGTTAGCAATAAGGTTAATAAATGTAGTGAAGGATGTCCAGATAATTAAAAAAACTTTCAGCTGTGGTCGACCCCTAAATCACTTCCAAAATTATGTTGAATGTTAGAATATTGGGCCATATTGGAGAAGTTATATATATTGAAACCTCGCCGGAAAATTTTACTGTTTATTTACTATAATATTCTTTTCTTAGATAAAATTGGTCGCACCTGAAGAACCCATTTTCCCCAGGGAAACCTTGTATTTCTCAGGTAATAAAAAGGCGCTTGAATCCGCTGTATTTTTGTGGGCTCATTCCAATATGGCAGCGAGTGGGTGTCTTCAAGCTCCTTCAAGCTCATAACACAGCAAGTCCGATAATAACAAATTGTTCGCACGCTTAGTTAGCTGGTTAACTTTGAAAAACACCCACAAACGGATGAAATTGTCCGCCTGCTTGGGAAAGCCTGCTAACGAACTAACAAGCGAGACTCAATTAAGGCTGGTTGATGTAGAGGCCGCCGATTCTGCTTCACAAGTTCACACTCAGCGCCGTCTAAGACCAGTCTTTGAAAGTATCTTTTCCTCTCGACGAGGGATTCAAAATCCCCACAATTGCACTTCTTCTTAGGGTGTCAACACGCACAGTAGAAAGGAGCATGGAAAAGTATGGCCGTTCTATATCAGGCTAGATATCAAGAGCGCTTTTTGTTTATTTAATTTAATTTATTTTTAATTCATTTAAACAATTTACCCATGGCAACAAGGGGCGCATCCAGGAATTTTGAAAACAATGTGTGTGCTATTCAGAGTCAAAAATCTGTACTTAGATATAAACTCAGCTTGACCTCACGCTGGTTATTTATTTGCCAGGTTTATTTCTACTTCTGTGGTATGGATTACATCAATCGCAAACGGTATTCTGATTCAACATTGCTTGAATTGAACTGCAATACACCCTCCTATAGCCCTTCCTTATTCATGTACGTATTAAAAAGCCTATAAAAATCGTCATATCACCATATTTCTTGAAGATTATTTAAACCAATCAAACTGTGCCAATCAGCGTGGGTGTTAGCTTGTGCCAGGGTCTTCTCCCGCCGGCCATTTTGAGACGTGGAGTAAGAATCTTTGGACGAGGTTGCCTGGAAACAACGACCTGGCCAATGGAAGTTGAAAAAACAAACAAGTGCGATGCGATATCCATTTTTTGAAAACGCGAAAAGTTAGTTCCGTCGGACGACGCTAAAAAGAGGAAAAAAGAAGATAGCCCATCGCGCGTTACAATTTTCTATATTAAAGTTTGGCCGTTTCACGCTATCAGTACACCATTTTAAAGCCCCACAACAACGAAAAAAACACACTCAGGTTTCTAGTCGCTGTAATCAATTTTATTTTGTCCCCAAAATAACTTTAGAAAGAAAACAAGCTACTTTTCTCGATTATATAAGGCCTGTACCCTAACAATTAAGACTTTTTAATATTTTCAATAACACAGTTACACTGATAATACGGAGCCATACCTTTGCTGTCTATCAAAAGCACTCAATTGCACCTTTACGTTAAACCGATTGTCTATTATCAAATCTGCTATCAAGCAAAAGTGCTCCGCGAAATCAGTTCTTTTTCTTGGGCCATTCGCCCTCGTTGCGAATGTAAAACTGAAAAGCTGCTCGTAGACCAGACTCCAAGGCACCCTGAATCCATCCTGCAGCAAACGAAAGGCCGTCACCAGCAAAGAAGATGTTAGCCATAGGGTATTCCATGACGTAGCGCACGTTATGATACTGGGTGGGTTTAAGTAGGGCATAGGCTCCTTGAGCGGTTGGGTGGTTGTACCATGCTAAGACGGCCCCCGTTTCAACCTGGTCTTTGATCTCTGGGTGGATNGGCCTTCACCAGCAAAGAAGATGTTAGCCATAGGGTATTCCATGAGGTAGCGGACGTTGTGGTACTGGGTGGGTTTGAGCAGGGCATAGGCTCCTTGAGCGGTTGGGTGGTTGTACCATGAGCAGACGGCCCCCGTTTCAACCTGGTCTTTGATCTCTGGGTGGATTGTGGCTATTTGCTCTACTACCTCATGTAAAGCAGTAGCAGGATCCAGGGAGCCAAAGAGTAAGGCTTCCGTCTTCCACGTGTAAACCAACAGGATGCCTTTTTCTCCAGGATGCTCTCCAGTGACGTTGCTTGGATAATGGAGCTGCCCGATTGGAAGATCTGTTTTGGAGAAGCCTCCTTTAATGCCGTCTTTCTCCCAGAATCTGGTCTTAGTCTGTATGAAGAGTTTGGTTGCTGGACCGGTAAAGATGTCTTCTATGGCCTTGTGGAAATTCAGTGGGGGAGGCTCCGTGTGTTTAAAGGGTGTGTATTTGATCTGCCTAAGAATGTTGATTGGAGTTGCGACGATAACAGCATCTCCTTCGACTTGGAAAGGTTGTCTGCTGTTGCTGAAGTAGCCTTTCACCACCACATGATTATTTTCAGTATCATCCTCATGAAATTTGTACATAATTTCTTTGACTGTACGGTTGAAGTAAATTTTATCGTGAAGGTAAACGTCGGGATTCCAACCTCCATGGCTTTTTTCGGTGAAGGCTTCTGGTAACAAAGACATCCCACCTTTGATGCAGTGCATGTCTGATGACCACCACTGTCCCAGTTGATCTCGGAGGTATTGCACAAGACTTTGATCAAGCTGCTCTGTGTAGGTGAAGACAGAGTAAGCAGTGATGGCAGCATCAGGCCAGGGAAGGTACTTCTTGAGCTCTTCAAGGCTTGTCAAAGAGATGCTGTATTTTTTTTCGAGGACTTTTTTCTTGACTTTTGTCTTCACCCCTTCGTAGGTACTTTGTAAGAAACCATCAAGTGAAAACTGACTCCAGAGATCAATCCACTGATTCCAGGCATCGCATGGTTTAACGCTGGGATCGTTGAGCAAATCAAACAGCTGATCTGTTACAACTTTAGTGGTGCGATTGTAATATTCATCTGCAGTTAGATAAAGATAAAATTACAGTCAAAGATGCCATCTAGACAATAATAATAATAATAACAATAATAATAATAGTAATAATAGTAATCATTAATGTTTCTATGGCGAAAATTAGCACATGAATATGACCAAATGCGTCTTAGACAAAGCTAATTCAAAATTTAACCTAGCAAAGGTAAAGAAATTATGATGCAGATCATCGTCTCTTGTTTGTAGTTGTATCCATTTTGCAGCTAGTATATTAATTCGCCTGTTCTAAAGACATCGGATGGTGTTTTTTCCTCCATAACAAGTGATCTGTCTCTTTTAATTATTTTTAGATGCGGTGCATTTTAGGTGCCGAACAAAGGCAATTAAAAGTCGCATTTTAAGTGAGTAATTTGGATGGTTTCCGACATACAACACAATAACTAACCTGAGTTTTCAACGCTTTTCCCTCCGGAAATCCTATTTCATATTTCACACTTTCTTTTACCCTCCTTGGGGCAGTGCAATTTCGTGGGATTCCGATGTGTGTTAAAAACAAAGGAAAACTTGTTTTGGGATTGGTGTGTACAGCAGTCGGGGATATTATAGAACCAAGGGATTTTAGAGGCTTGAAAATGTTTCACTTCCTGTGACTGCAGAATACACTAATGGCGTATAGCAAAACTGAAGTTTGCAACCACCTTAGACTGCTGCAGCGTTTTAAACTTACCGATACTTGTGATGCCTTTCACTTCATTTTTCATTAGTGTAGCATCCCATCCAGGCCAAATTTTGTTCATCCAGGTCAAAGGATCTTCATTCCAGTCTGTAAAATACACGAATTGGGAATTGTCTTTACATAATTTACATACGTTTAGCTGTAGGTAAGCGACATGTTGTAAGGCCAGGCCACTACACTTCAGTTTATCGAGCCTCAAATTCTAAAACTCAATTTCAGTCTTGAAGAAATAAAGTTGCTAAACTACAGAACTACCCCTGGCTAAGGAGGGCTACATCCGACTTTGCGGGAAGACGTTTGATACTGGAACATTAACTTGTAGATTAATTATTTTTATTTACTTGTCATAAAGACCCTTTTCTCTTCCAGAGTCTCACGGTCCCCGCCCAGGTGTATAAATAATTAAATACACGAGTTGGGAATTAGGTCAGAGCACCTCATTCCAAAATATAACAGTTCTTCACCATACATCTACTAAATGATGTAAATTTAGCTGTATCGTATCAAAATCTACAAGTCAGCGTCGTGTTGTAAGGTCAGGCCACCGCACTTCAGTTCATCAAGCCCCAAATTCTAAAACTTATTTTCACTCTCGGAGAGATAAACTTGTTAAACTACAGGGCTACCCTGGGTTCGGAAGCTTCCAAGGAAGACATTTGACGTTGAAACAGTAGGTTTTATTTATGTATCGTAAAGCTCACCTGCTATACGAACAGCGTCTTCGTTATAAAACTTGAGATAAGCTTTCTCACTGTAGTTGGAAAAATGTGCCAAAGGTAGGCTGAACCGCTCCTCAGAAGCATAAAAATCTGTGAGAAAATGGGTCTTGGTCTTCGCATCAGGGAGACATGGTAGCCTCATGGCACCAGCTGCAAATGAAATGAATAGAAATGAAAGAGGGTTACGAAATCAACCATTAAGGGTAGTTTAGAGGTACAATAAAAGCTCGTCTCCCTCAATCGATTATTATACTTACCCTCACCGCGGAGTCCCTTTGCAAAACCATCTTTTTCCCCAAGGGTGTAAACTCTGCCTCCTACTCGCGTCTGGCTTTCTAATACCATCACGTCATGTCCAACTTGTGCCAGCTCAAATGCAGCCACTAGCCCTGCCATTCCAGCTCCAACCACAATCACTTTCTTCGGCTTTTGCGTCTTTGAATACCGCTCAGGGTCCTCCATTCTCTTGATCCATTTTTGGAAAGCATAATTTAGGCCCTCTTTAGCGATATCCATTAGTAGTGGTTTTAAAAGATCGCTCTGTTGAACAGGTCCTTGCTCTTCTTCAATCTTAGGCTTTTGGACCTCATGGAGCTCTTGAACTACTCTGGGGGCTGCAAACGTAGCTATTGTAGGGAGTGGGCTTTTGTGTGCATCATTCACATAGTTCCCTAGATCTCCAGTAATCCAGTTTGGTTCGTTCTTTAACAAAACCCTGCCCAATCGCTTAGCGACATCCCGAACTGTCTTTGCAGTCATCGTGAATTCTCAGCTGTAGATATCAAAGAGATTCTATTAGGATCTCAATAGGGTTAACCATCAGCCTTAAAACAAGACAACCATTTAGCCGTGAAGTGTAAAAATTGGAAAAGTTTAAACGTTAGCCGTAAAAAATGTTAATCGTAGACAAATTTTAGCCAGAAAAGTGAAAATCTCAAGATCTCTTGTAAAGATTTGTTGTGTCTAGTCTTGTGTTTTTGTAGTACGGAGAAAAGCCAGGAGACTTAGTAGTAGCAAAATTGTTTACAATTCTTATCATAATACTGTGAGGGGAGAATTTGCCAATATTCATAACCATAAAAAAGGCAACAGTTAGCAGTCAAGTGAAAGTCCAATAACCATGGTAACCACCTGTCTATCTGTATTATCGTGTAACACCTTGTAGTGAGAACTACCTGAAGTTGTAAGTTGTTAATATTTACGAGCAGAATAACTGACTGCCTATGATGGAATAGCCTAGAACAACAATGAGCTCATTGGCACCCAATAGGGGTTTAGGATTACTAAACGAAATATTAGATCACTTGTTTAGAGTCTAGCATAAATACAGATGTTTTGTAAATTGTTCTTCGGTTACGGCCCCGGTGGTGGGACGCCGGATACCACTATCCCGTATTGGTTACATTCTGGTTACGATCTGAGTACGTTAATGGATTAAACTCTACTGATGGACCCAAGTAACCGCGTATTCTCTGTCTGCCTGTTGGATTGTTTTGCTGTAATAGATCCCGAGTTCTCTAGGAGTCTGACAAACTCCGTCGCTGGAAGCGTGTTTCCCTCTGGATTGTTGTAACAAGGATAGCAACCTATAAGCGGCCCAAAAACCTGTTGTCACAATACCTTCCGTTTTTCCATCCCAGAATGGTCCTAAGACCTTAAATATGTTTTACACTCTGCAGCATCCCGAACCCGAAGGACTAGACTTCGGTTCCGAGGGTTGCCCAGGACGGTATAGTAACAGCTAGAATTGAACCATGCATAATCGTTTTTTTTTTGAGAGCCCTTCACTTCTGATCGGTGTGTTTGTTTTTGTGACGTCTAAATGAAACAGGTGGTGGTTGAGAAAACCTTCGGCCAGTTTCGGGATCTTTCTGAGGCAATTTGATTTTTTTCCTTAGAATAATACTCTTCACTGCAAGAATTCTCTCAATTTGTTTTCTTTTTGTGACGTTTCAAGGGAAGTCGAAAGGGAAAGTGCTGTATCATATCTATATGCAGACATGACGTCTGTGTCTATTTTGTCCATTCGATACGATATGACAACTTTATTTAAACAAGGTATTTCTATCAGTCTATTTATGATAATCAACTGGCTACCTATCTTCCTAACTACAATCAAAGAACAACAATCCCCAAAAAATATAAATTGCTTTGCATAGAGGCAGAGTAGAACAAAATCTGCTTAAACCTGTGGCGACTTAGTGTAATCTTGAACTCGGTTAATGAAGTTGCTTGTCTTAGCTTTGAAGGTTTCTCAAATCGTAAAATAAATCAAATAATAAATAAATTACAACATTTGGAGAGGAAGTCAATTCCGCCTAAGCTGCTTTTCATGTTGGTCTTATATCCAGGTCGAATTGGAATTTGGAGTGTTGGTTTTTGTGGGTATTGAAAACCGGAGAGCCCGGAGAAAAACCCATGGAGCAAGGCGAGAACCGACAATAAACTCAACCCACATATGGCACCGGGCGGAATCGAACAAGTACCGCATTGGTGGGAGGCGAGCGCTCCGCACTACTGCGCCATCCCTGCTCCCGTGTACAGTCGTGTACATTCGTACCTCTTTCTGCGACCATCTCTTATTAAGCGACCACCATCTCAAAATCAAAGTCTCCTGTGAAACCAGCTCATGGATAGGGATAAGCGTAGAGAAGGTAGTTGAACCAAAAACAGAAGAAGTATTGGTGGATTTGGAGTGTTAGACGATATTTGGAACGTTGAAAAATATAAAAAAAGAAGATAAAAGGCGAGCCACTGACTTGTAAAATAAAAAGCCTGTAAACAAGGGTTGGAGTGCAAAGCTGCACATCATTCTTCGTTCACTGAATGACAACCCGGCCTTAGCTGAATACGCTCCATTGAAAATATCAAATAATTACCATTGTTGGAGGCCGAAATTCGCTTAAACATAGTCTGCTAACGATGCAAAAACACTTCCGCCATACAGTGACTGAATTCAATCAACAAGGACGTCGCTGATGATCAAGCTTGCCTTCAAACACGAATGCGTTGTTTGTTACTTTCAGCTTGTCTTGTCTAGAAATTAACTTCTTTCTTTGAATAAGACGGGGTGTCTTTAAAAGTTTCTACCTGTCCACCGAATCCTTGCGCTCAAAATAATATACCTCTAAATTTTTAACCTTTGCTGCAGCTGATGCCGACATAGTTATTTGCACATTGAAAAACAGTCTGTTTGAAAACAATCTGTTATGGTCTTGGCTTCGGACCCGCAGACAAGTCGATAGTAGAGCTTCAGGGTTTAAGACACTAAATGGTACTTTTCTATGCAAGCGTCAATGACCCCTCCCCAACTGCATCAGTTGTAACATGCCTGGCCTTTTGATGCCAAGAACAGTTATTTGACTGCCAACAGAAACAAGACTTCTACTTGTATGTCCTTACCGGTTGCAACTTCCGTCAGGCAGCAAGGTAGCAAACAGCTTGTGCTTGAATGTCGAAATCCAAACTGTTGCAACGAAAGCAGGATGCTTTAATGTGAAAGTCAAAAAGCCATGAATACTTTGGTTTGATTTTGACGGATCGATGAGTGTGTAGCCGCCAATCAAATGTGT